GGGGGGGGGGGGGCATTGAAAAATTGACAACATATTTTTTTAGAGAAAAAATGTTTAAGAATTAAGTGAAATCATTCATTGATTTTGATTTTTTTTTTCTGATCACCCTGTTTGTAGACACAACGGCATTTGTTAATTGATAGACAGACAGACGGAAAGACAGACATAAATACCGATAGATGAAACAATGCGAGACATTTATTGTTTTCACATACATGTCACAAATTGTACACCGCCAGTAAAATTTAAAGTCCAAAAGAATTTGCTGCTGCTGGTTTTATCGAGCGGTAACATGTCTTATTTTTTAGTAAAAATAAATCTTTTTGTTCCAGTGTTGTATATTGTTGAAAATAGAAATACTTTATGGTGAATTTACACAACAATCTAATCAAATTTGTATTTTTATTTATTTTATTTTATTTCTTTTTTTGTAGTTTAATTGAACAATTTTTGCTGCGTGTTGGTCATTTTTGAAGAACATTTCATATTGTCCCAGGGTTACTTTTAACCACTAAATTTTGTCATATGAAGTGCATACATATGAAAGTGTGTGGGGGGGGGGGGTCGATAAATAGTTTACTTTGCTTTGCCAAAGAGTTATAAATCTCTCAAAAATTAACTTCTTCTTCCTTTCAAACCCCCCTTCATTACCCCCTCCCTTAACCTCCTTCACCCNTGGATGGTTGGATGGTTGGATGGTTGGATGGTTGGATGGTTGGATGGTTGGATGGTTGGATGGTTGGATGGTTGGATGGTTGGATGGTTGGATGGTTGGATGGTTGGATGGTTGGATGGTTGGATGGTTGGATGGTTGGATGGTTGGATGGTTGGATGGTTGGATGGTTGGATGGTTGGACTATTGAATGATTGGATGGTTGGATGGTTGGATAGTTGGATGATTGGATGATTGGATGGTTGGTTGGTTGGATGGTTGGATTTAAGGAAAGATGAATTTATAAATTAAGATGAATCAATGAAGAAAGATTTTTAAAACAATCAGACAAAACAAATACACTATCTAGGGCCGAGCGCTGCAGCGTAAAGAGAAAAATTTATAGAAATTTTCATGATTACTGAAGCCACCTGTATCAGTTAGAATTTAATACAGATGTACGTTTGTTAATAGTAACACAAATGTTATAGAAAAATATTAAAATTCAAAGGGGGTAAAAAATAATTTTCCTCGTACGATAATTAAGCTAAGCTTAAATAGCGTTTCGCGGACATCTTTCTAATATAGTAGTCTAAGTCTTAGCCTTTTATTTCTAATGTTTCTATAAAGTCTGCAGGCCTTCAAGGACCATGCGTTTCATGATTTAAAAGTTTTTGTCCGGCGCATTTTTTCGTTTTTTGACCGACTGGTATATAGTATGGGTCAAACCTGAGAAATCTTCTATACAATCGATTATACCTAGCTGTTATAGCTGCTCATTGGATTCAAACAGACACAAATGTGATAGATACATACAAATGTTTTTTTTTTAAACAAACAAAAAATTCAAAACAAAATTATTAATTTTGATTGTCAAAATATTCAAAGTGTGCGCCGAAGAATTATAAAGAATATAAAGTTAGAAAAGAAAATTAATAAAAAAGAATCAACTCTTCAAATCTAATAGATTTACTTTATATATTCATTTTGTATTTGAAAAGTGAAAATCGAAGCTTTATCAATAGATCATTATCTATATGATGATACCTATAGAGCAATATCATGTGACCTCTCCGACCAATGAGAAGTCGAGTTGGGCCGGGAATCCACCAATAACAAGTCCAGCTCGCCCACCCTAATTAGGGGGTTGAGTCTGTTTACAGCGTACGGTTATTTGGCGCGGTCCGGCTAACAGCGTAAGTTTATAGTAGTATAGAGTATAGACACTAGAGTCGAGTAGAGACTAGAGAAATTAAACTTCAGTTACTTCTGAGCAGTGGGAACGAGAGAACTGTTAAAACTCTAAACTTGAAAAACTAGATATTAGTTGTCTGGATACAAGTGGTAAACGCACTTAAAAGACTCTAGTTAAATCATCACTAAATCGGAACTATTATACTAAATAAAGAAATACTAAGAGAAAAGTGAACACTAAATAGTTTTTAAACTACTTGTTGAGTTGTTTGTATGTCTGATATGAGGTTAGTTAGTATTTAACAAAAACTCTAATTTTTTAATTTTTCATAAATGTCCATTTTAAATAATTTTATACTAAATGTTCAAATCTAAACCTTTAAAAATGAAAATAAAATTTTCATTTGACAGATTTGAATGTTTTTTCATGTTTATCTTATTTATTTGGCAATAACATAAATAAATATGTTTAAATATGTCCTCAATATAGATATTTGATATTATTTGAAAAACACGTTTAAAAAGTGTTTAAAATCCAAACAAATATAAAATAATATTGATAGGTAGACTTACAAAAGTTGTTTAGCAAAGTTTATTAGTTTCACGAGAAAATGTATATTTTTCACTTGTATATTATTACGAAAAAGCGTTTTTTTTAATAACCGCAATAAAAAGATTTTTAATTAATTTAATTTCGTGCAGTGATTTAAACTTTATTATTTTATTAATCTGAATCCTTGATTAAACATTTAATAACATTGTATACTTTATAATTATATGTTTTCCTTACAACTAAAATATAAGTAATATTTAGGAGGTTTATGTGAGATATCGATAGTATCGGTTAGAAAACAAGAATGGATTGGATTTGTTCTCTTGTTCTTCTTTTTACATCATTCTTGGTTTCTACACAACAAGCAGGTATTTTAGAGAAATAGAATATTGGAGAACTAGATAACTAGATATTTAGAATATTGGAGAACTAGATAACTAGATATTAAGAGAATTGGAGAACTAGATAACTAGATATTAAGAGAATTGGAGAACTAGATAACTAGATATTTAGAATATTGGAGAACTAGATAACTAGATATTAAGAGATTTGGAGAACTAGATAACTAGATATTAAGAGAATTGGAGAACTAGATAACTAGATATTAAGAAAATTGGAAAACTAGATAACTAGATATTAAGAATATTGTAAAACTAGAAAACTAGATATTAAGAATATTGGAGAAATAGATAACTAGATATTAAGAGAATTGGAGAACTAGATAACTAGATATTAAGAATATTGGAGAACTAGATAACTAGATATTAAGAGAATTGGAGAACTAGATAACTAGATATTAAGAATATTGGAGAACTAGATAACTAGATATTAAGAATATTGGAGAACTAGATAACTAGATATTAAGAGAATTGGAGAGGACATAGAGAACTATAGATAATAAGATAATCGGAGAATTAGAGAACTAGATAATTAGAAAACCTAAGTACTCGAGAACTAGAGAACATTATAATTGATGCCGTTCCGGAACATAGATAGAGAACCATAGAGAATAAACTCATATGCATATTCAGTAGAAGTAAAAAGTAAGAAAGTTAGAGAGAACTCTTTATAACATCATTTGAAGATTTTAATTCTTTTGTTCCGAGTTTATCTTATTGATTATAGTCTATACACGATAGCACAGGCGGCAACTTTTTATACAAGGTCTATCCTCTATCTTGTATCTGTCAACTTGTCTGTATATCTGTATTCTAGACTTATATCTGTCAACTTGTTTGTATATCTGTATTCTAGAATAGTATCTGTCAACCACGTCTGTATATCTGTATTCTAGACTTGTATCTGTCTACCTTGTCTGTATATCTGTATTCTAGACTTGTATCTGTCAACTTGTCTGTATATCTGTATTCTAGAATAGTATCTGTAACCTTGTCTGTATATCTGTATTCTAGACTTGTATCTGTCAACCTTGTCTGTATATCTGTATTCTAGACTTATATCTGTCAACTTGTCTATATATTTGTATTCTAGACTTATATCTGTAAACTTGTCTGTATATCTATATTCTAGACTTATATCTGTCAACTTGTCTGTATATCTGTATTCTAGAATAGTATCTGTCAACCTTGTCTGTATATCTGTATTCTAGACTTGTATCTGTCAACCTTGCCTGTATATCTGTATTCTAGACTTAAATCTGTCAACTTGTCTGTATATCTGTATTCTAGACTTATATCTGTCAATTTTTCTGTATATCTGTATTCTAGACTTATATCTGTCAACTTGTCTGTATATCTGTATTCTAGACTTATATCTGTCAACTTGTCTGTATATCTGTATTCTAGACTTATATCTGTCAACTTGTCTGTATATCTGTATTCTAGAATAGTATCTGTCAACTTGTCTGTATATCTGTATTCTAGACTTATATCTGTCAACTTGTCTGTATTTCTGTATTCTAGACTTGTATATGTCAACCTTGTCTGAATATCTGTATTCTAGAATAGTATCTGTCAACTTGTCTGTATTTCTGTATTCTAGAATAGTATCTGTCAACCTTGTCTGTATATCTGGATTCTAGAATAGTATCTCTCAACCTTGTCTGTATATCTGTATTCTAGACTTATATCTTTCAACTTGTCTGTATATCTGTATTCCAGACTAGTATCTATAAAATTGTTTGTATGTCTGTATTATAGACGTGTATCTGCATCATGTCAACATGTCTGTTTATCTGTATTCTAGGTGTGGATCTGTCTATTTGTCTGTTTAATCTGTATTCTAGACTGGTATATTAGTAAACCATTGTCTAATAGTAATATGTCGTGTGCATTGTCTCTAATTACTATCTGTCTCCTTACATGTCTTTTTACTCTGAATTTAGTTGAGAATACTTTGACTATCATAGTGCAATAAATCTGCTGAAGGAGACCACCCTCTCGCTTTCTTGACTTTCTAACTATCTAACCAAACCAATTTTTATGTCGTTAGCTTTGTTAAAACTTAACCAAATACTTCTGGTTTTACCTTGTCTATTATACATCCGCTACCCCCTCCCCCCTCTCCCACATCCCCCCTCTCCTTATTGTTTTTAGTGTGGTATACTAGGTAAACCTTAAGCTAACGAGGAACTCTAAATTATTTCAGATCAACTTTTATCTTCCTCTTTTTACAATACCAGAGTTCACATCTTGAATTCCAGGCAAAATATGCACTGCCTGGTTTCCAGGCATATCTTATACCTACCCTTACTCTGGTTCAAGTCTCCGCGTGCAGAGTCGGTTTGAAACATCGTAATTTTTGAAAGAAATCCACGAAACTAATTTTAGAAGAAAATCTACGAACACGTTTATCTGTCTGGAAAACTGGGAGAATGAAAACTTGAAATAGAAGTGCAACTTTAAACCAGATCACGAGTTTTAGTTATCAATGATACCCCCGTCCCCGTCCCCCTACCTTCTCTCCCTAGATACCCCCCTTCCCATTTACCCTTCTCAGCTTAATCATTATTTACCAACAAATTCCAACAACAAAGATCATTATTTAACCAAGCATTTTCTTTTGAATATATCTTCTTACCTGCCGACTCACCTTCCTAACAACCTATACCTACCTTCCTAATTACTTACATCGCCTACCCACCTTCCTAACAACCAATACATGCCTTCCAAGCAACTTACTTCTGCATGCTTACTTTCCTAACAACATTTACAGACATTAATCTATTTTATTGAAATTTGCTTGCTCTTCAAATCTACATTTTTTCCTATTTAATCAACATTTGTGATTCTACAATCCTACTATTTTTTATGCATGGGAGCCTGACTCTAAGCTCAAAAATGGGTTAAGTAGATGGGAGGAAGGGGGGGTTATTAAGCAAATTTTTGTTATCTCTGATGTTTATCTGCATGAGAATAGAAGGGGAACAGTTTACTTTTCAATCTAACACCTTCCTCACATCCCATTAAAGGCCGGTCTTATATCTGTGTCCTCAACCCTCCCCCCCCCCTCCTCAGATACAGTGGTCAGGATGAGACTAAAGTTAATGATAAGATAATTGATGGCTGGAACCTGTAGGGTTTGTTTGTCTAGCTCAGGGTTGTATTGGAGTACTGTAGACACATGAAACCCACCACCCTGATTCAAATCATTATCTTTACATCTTTTCAATCCCTCGCCCCATTCCAATTCTTTCACACACTCCCACCCTTTATATTGTGAGGATAATGTGTGTGTTGTGTGATAGCAATCCCTCTGCGATCTGTCCCAACCTACATCTGTATCTATCTATCCGTTCTATCCTCTCCTATCATTTTATCATCTTGTCCTCTATCTTTCACTCATAATCACAGGGTGTAACCATTATCACAATCAATCTTTCTCTTCATCTTTCTAGACAATAATTTTATTTATTTTCCATTTCCATGTTTGCTATCTACTTATATATTTTCCACCTCTCTTCTTATACCTTTCAAAATATTAATCTCTTTATCTAACTCTCTATTTATATTACTATTCCATTAACCGCTCTTTCTATCTATCTGATCAAATGCTATCTATTTTTCTATCGGCACAAATATCTCTCCCTCTATCTATATCCACCCTATATGTATATTAATCTACTGCAGATATAGATATATCTCTAGTTCCTATCTACAAGTAGAGGATAATATTTTGACAGGTTTGGATCGTATCTCTTCATTCCCCATAGTCGTACTCCATCCGTTTATTCATTTCTCATGTACTGTCATCCCTTTATATTCCTGTCATCATATCTATTCATCCATATATGCTCTCTATTGTGTTCCAACTATAGAAGTTAGCTGAACAACTTGATAATTGAATTCAATTAAATATCAACATTTACACAAGGGGTCAGAGTACAACACTTCAGTTAGCAAACATAATTTATGATTATTAATTAACGAATTTTAGAATAGAAAAATATTGAAAAACTACAAAATTCAGTTTAAATGCTCAGTTTTTAGTTTTAAGATCGCGGCGCATACATTTGTTTCTTTCAGTTTGTGTTGAGGGGTTTGGTTGCATACCAGAGCTTGCAGGGTTTTGACAGAAATAATCTTTCCAACTTTAATATTTTAGGATAATTTTTAAAACCTGAAAATTATAAAATTATTCTTGGTTTGTATTTACTAGAGAATATTTGCCCCTGTAGACCTGAACCTAGAATGGGTCCCATTATTTCAGGTTGATTGGTGAGCTCTGTCTCCAGTATATAGGATTTACTGACCCAACCTGTATCTGTCAACTTGTCTGTATATCTGTATTCTAGACTTATATCTGTCAACTTGTCTGTATATCTGTATTCTAGACTTATATCTGTCAACTTGGTTGGATGGTTGGATAGTTGGATGATTGGATGATTGGATGGTTGGTTGGTTGGATGGTTGGATTTAAGGAAAGATGAATTTATAAATTAAGATGAATCAATGAAGAAAGATTTTTAAAACAATCAGACAAAACAAATACACTAAACTCTCGACTCAGCTCCATATATCACAAAATCCACCTCTTTGTCACTCCATGAGGGGTAGTCTTTAAACATCCTTTTCCAGATCGAAAGTTATCCCTCCTCCTCATAATATTGGGAAGAGTGGGGGGGGGGGTCTGGGGGGATTATAAAGTGCTGTCAGAATATATGAATTCCAGCCAAAACATGTTTGTCATGTGTAGAACCCCCGACATTTAAATCATGCTACATCCTCATCTTTTAGTCTTAGTATTCAATATGGTACAGTTATGTACACTGTACATAATAATTAGATTCACTATAAATTCTAGCTATGTACATATATTCAGTCTATAATTTAATATGTACAGTGTATGTACATAGATTGAATCTATAGTCTAGTTCTGTACAGTGTACGTAGATACCATCTCCTAGTCTAGTTGTGTACAGTGTACGTAGGTACCATCTCCTAGTCTAGTTCTTTACAGTGTACGTAGATTCCATCTCCTAGTCTAGTTGTGTAGAAACCAATGTTCTTGTCAATTCTGTACAACCATCTTCATCTTGGAGTGACAAGCTATATCTGTCTTTGGTAGATGTTAAGCAGGGGTGTATATTTTTATAGAAAACAATTTATGTTTTCTAATTTAAAGATAAAAAACGTGATTTGCAATTGTGTGTTTTTTTAAGGGTGGGGTGGGATACCCTTTTATTCAGAAACTTCGAATTTATCTCTGATCTTCTTTTGAGTTCTGTGTCTAGTATGTGTAATTCTTATTATACAGTTCTGGAAACTGTTTAACTGTCTAGTGTCTGTGTCTGCCCTGGGGTTAGGTTGTGAATGTAATTCAAAACTCTGGAATTTTTCCGTTTTTTTCAATAAACCCTAAAAAATTTAACAAGGACTCAACTTTTTTTTTAACTCCCCCCTCACTTTGCATTTCTGAAGTTAGATGAAGGCAGAAAGTTGTACTTAAAATCAAATGATCTGATTAAAGCAGGATAAAAGTGCTTGTTAGCTTTACTGCCTTGATCTCCCAATAAATAAACCAGGCGTGTATAGCACTTAAACATAGAAATATACACACTTACATCCTTAGTTACAATTTATATAGGGATTTAAGGTCATAAAAGTTCCGATAAGTTTTAGATAGAAAATTAGAAAGATAGACAGTCAAAAGAAAATTAGAAAGCCAAAATTACAGTAAAAACTGATGAAAAGATAAAAAGAAGAAGAAGATGTTAAAAAATGAAGATGAGATCAGAATAAAATATTCGTGTTGAAAGCAAACAATATTATAATAGAATGAAACTGGTTTGATTCTTAGTTCTTATACTCCTAAACCCTCCCATTAGTGAACTAGTAGATAACTTTTTATTCAATACATTAACTAATTATGAACCAATACCCACTCATGGCCATTAATGTTCAAACAGAAATCCCTCCATTTATTAGCATAAAAAAGCTTTTATAAGTTTTGTCAGATAAAAATCCGCAAATAAAAAGTCAACCTTGAAAACATTCTGTAAAATTAATTTGAGAAGACGATGATTAATAATTTGTCTCTTTACAGGGTTAGATTTGTCGAGTCCTCTGCTACCTGATCACCTTCCTGAAGGGGACCCTGAGAACTATGCCCTTCCGGTGTTCTTGGAGCAACCTGTCAGCACCTACACCAGCAAGGAGGTGACCGGAAACCTGAGCTGCCGGGCAGCTCATGCCACCAACCTATACTTCGTCTGCAACGAAGAGAAGACGAACCCAACCGAGGAGAAGGACGGGTTGGATGAGAAAACCAAAAGCCGGTACAAGGAAGTGAGGTTGGAGTTGAAGAGGAGCCAGGTGATGGACGTATTGGATGAGTTCTCCTGCCAGTGCGTAGCAGTCTCCAACCAAGGAGAGGTCGTCTCTAATCTCGTCACTGTCGATGTTGCATGTAAGTATTTTTGAACAAAAATTATAAAAAAAAAATGTAATCTGAAGATTGTGTGTGAATTCTCCGAATGAATGAGATAAGGGATATATATTGAAAAGGATGAATTTTCATTTTCAATTTAAAATATTACTTGATGAATGATAGATAGATAAAATGAAAGTATAAATGTTGGCGACCATTGATTACTGTCACTACCTTCTGTCTGCATGAAATATAAAATCTTTAAAATAAAAAGTAAATATTCAAGCTCTATCTTTTTTTCTGATAAAATGGCCAAAAAAATGTTTTTTAAACCATTGCTGTTAGCAAAACTATTTCCGGTGGGCTAAAGTCATTTTTCTCGTACATCGTGGGAACTACGTAAGTTTGAACTATTTTATTTTTGTCTCACTAATGTAAGGCCTAAATTGCGTGAATTGCGTGCTAAGGTTTCTTCAAAAATCTCTGCTTTGACAAATTCAACAACAATTCTGCATTTTCCGAATTAACCGTTTTTTGCTAATGTTGTTGCGCTGACTTGCATATTTTTCTGTCAATTATGACTTTTCTAGTCACAAAATCTAGGATTTAGAGTTGATATATTTGTTCTTGCTTGTCTTCAAACCCGCAATTGTCCCTAAAAGGTTGAGAACATAAAGCGGGTTTAAGTTAATGGACCCCTAAAGCCGATTAGTGCACTGTACAGTGCATGTCTGGAAACATGTTTAATGTTACTAAGTTTGGAGGGAAAATGCGGTGGCCTAGGGGGAAATTTATAATTTTTAAATGTTCCCCATAGACTCTTCTCTAGTTTCCCCAGTTTCAGAGGTAACCCAAGAAATTAGGCGTGTCTTCGCTAAGATTAATCATTTGTTTCCCACCTTTCCCTCCCCCCACCTTCTTCTCTTTCCCTCTTTCTCTTTCTTTGAATTTTCTTATAAAATTTATACTTTAATTTTTGTGTTTTAGATCTTTTAAAGATTGTTAACTTTTCTGGAACTCTTTTCTCCTCTCCTAACTTTCCTTGTTATTGTTCATATTCTCTTATATGAAAAACTGCCCCTCTTCTTCCCCTGGCCTTAAGTGCAAATAAAAATATATTTACATCTTATAAATCTTTCAAGAACTTTTATATTTTTTCCTTTTCCCCAATGTTCAAGATTCCTGGCAGATTTTTCACATTTTTGTCGGATTTTTCAGGTCAAATAGGTTATCAAATAATTCTAGCAATCAACCGATAGAAACTTTATAAAAAGTTAAAAAGTTTGAGGGGAATTGAAGTTTCCAATTTTCATGTCAAAAATAATGATGCCTAAAAGTGACGTTTGGGCGTTATGTTAGAAAAGGGGATATAAGCATTAGGCACCCTCCTCCCAAGGGGGTTTAAAATGAAAACAAGGTTTAACTAATTTTACCGGTTTCTCACAATCCAGCCCAGCCAGACGATTATATTTATATTGAGACTTCCTCGAGGAATTGAATTGTATTAATACTATTTAGTTGTTGAATGAAGTCAGTTCAGAAATCTACTCTATTTTAGTCAAGCTTTCTTGAATGTTTATAACTAACTAAAAACCTTGCCTCCCTGAAATTTTTTGTAAATCTCAATTTATCAAGAAGATTGCTAAAATTGTTTTCTAACAGCTGTTTCTTTCTCGCAGAGAATGACAGTGCCATTTTTGCGTAGGCTTCCGAGTTGCCAACTCAGATTGGCGCCAAAATTTTGCACAAGGAGTTGAAAACATGCAATATTCACGTAATTGATATTGATCGCATAAACAGGGATTATGTCCTAAAACACTTAATGTTTTTATATCACACTGGCGGATATTTTTTAAATACATTTTAGCATGTACGTGGCTGAGATTACCCCTGTATTAAAGGATTTAATTTTCTCACCCTGTTTGTATAGGTTTCGTGATATATTGGCTTCCTGCTTCATCCTTTCAACATAACAAAGCGATAAACTTTTCATTCTTAGAAAATCCGCAATTATCTGATTTCTCCCCCCCCCTTCCCTCTCCTCCCTCCTCTAGATCTAATTTTACAAAATTCGATGTTTTCCCTGAATGTCATGTGTTAGAGATGAAATAAATCAGATTTCAAGTTTTTCTTACACTTTAAACACATAAAAGCTTTTAATCAAAGACAAACTTGAACACTTATATAACACAATATAAACAAACATTTCTCAAATTTAAATTCGATATAGTTAAGCTTTTCAAACAATACACAGTGTCGACATGTGAAATATTGAAAAATTCAAATATTTGTTGTTAAAATGGTCGGACTACATTTTACAAATGCTTGAAAATGTTTTGTTTAGATATGCGTAAGGAGTTTGAAACGCCGCCCTATTCCTCACATATACAAGTTGGAAGCCAGGCTGAACTAAGATGTCATCCTCCTAAGGGACATCCTACCCCTCGTGTCATTGCTTGGTTAAAAAATGGAGTTCCTATCGACACTGGCAGCGACACAAACTTCATTATAAGTTCTACAGGTAATGTCGATATTTTCAGTGGAAAATATTTGTGTTTGAATTTTAAATTTGTTTAAGTATTCGTGCTTTTTGCAGCTTAATGTTTATTTACTTTATCGTTCAACTTCAAAAGGAATTAAGGTGTAAAATTTGTGATAATGAATATAAACTGTGTACACTGAACAGTTTTATAAAGAGGTAGATTCATTTTTCATCAGATTTTTTCAAAATGATAAATTCCACAATGTTTTATAAATTTCATTTTGCATACCTTGATGTTGGCGATGTTATTGTTCTTTAAGCTTTGTTGCAATTAGTTTTATCTTTGTGTAAAATAATATCCTTGTATTTCAGGTCATTTACTTGTTCTACAAGCTCGGCTTGAGGATTCAGGCAACTATAGTTGTGTCGCAGCTAATGTAGCGCGGCAGCGTACAAGTGATTCAGCGGCATTATCAGTTTACAGTAAGTTTTGTTTGCGCATTTTGTCCTTTAATTTCAACTTGTCTAAAAATATCATAGATCAAGTCAAGATATGGGGGGGAGGGGGTGATGCTTATTCTCCATTTTTGGTTTACAGCCTGTCCAGTTAAACTCATCTCTTTAAACCCCATTATTTTCAATTACTGTTGCCTCTAAGAATTATGATATCGTAGAAAGGGGAGCGGAGCCCGGATATTGTTCAGGACTAGTACTTTCAGAAACATATATATTTGATACACTTTAAAAATGGAGGGGTGGGGGGGCCGGGGTTTAGTTATTAAAGTCTGTCTTACAGAAATAGTTCCTGGAAGTATAGTTACTGCATTTCAGGGACAATTATAAACTTTATCAGAACATAAATATTAATATAAAAGGATTATCAGTAAATCTACAAAGGGGCTCATGTCGCCCCCGCCCCACTTTTCTCTGGCGCCCCTCCCCCCCCCTGATTTCCTCACCCCTGTTCTGTGGGCAGACAGAAAATGAAGGTTTGGCGCCACTAGCAGCGACAATCCTCGGCACAGAGACTCCAATTATAC